TTTTAACCTTAAGCCAGTCAAGAATTTTCCATTTGATCAAATTGTCTTTATTAATTAATTACCCGAGTCTTGTTCTTCTGGCCCGCCTTTTTCATCAGGAGCACCACAAAAGGGTCCGATTTCCCCATGAAATCCGTGGCTGGCAAATCTTCACCCGACACTACAGTTACCGAAAGTACCCCTCGCGTAATAACGTCACTTCTCATGGAATTAGATTTCGGGAGGTCCGGGCAAGGATTATCCACCCCATCTTCAGTCACTTGTTTGAGAGCCTTCTCGAGAGAAGTCAACCTGAAATCCGGGTCAAACGGGTTCTTGAATTTGCTCTCCGAGTTCAAAGGACAGTATAACAGCTCCAAATGCACCTGAAAATTCAAGTAAAAATGTAAATTCAAACCAAATTTTAGTGGAGAAACGGAAAAAATGGCTTGCCTGTCCTCTGTTTTTGTTGTCCCTTTGGATTTCTAAGTCTTTGACCAGCTTTAGCCACACGTCTTTGACTTTTCCGGGCTCGAGATTACGCAATGGGACTTGAGCACAACCGATTAATTCGGCAGCTTGAACTCCTTCGTCGTCATAAACTTTGACCGTCACGTTTTGAGTGGACAAATCCTCGACCTCAAATTCGAAGTGTTCGTTCCAGATTGGGTTTATTTGATTATCCTTTCCAAAAATAGAAAGCCTATCAGTCACTTTATGTTAGAGAAGCAAAAAAGAAATGGAGAGAAAAAGGATTTTACGATTGTTTTGCTGGTTTTTGTTAGGTCGCGTAAAGGGCGGATGTATATCTTTGCGAACGGATCGGATTTGCCGATTATGTCTTTGTTTGTTAATTCCTTGGCTTCTATGAGCTTTACTTCCAAGATCCCGACAGGCTTTACCTCCAAGTAACTGTAACAAGACACAAAAAAGTTGGAAAAAAAAAATAAGAAAATGATTGTTTATGTACAAAGTAGATTGAGTGATGGTTTGACCTATAATCTCCCGGTATTATGGGTACGATTTTACGTATTGGCCATGTTATAGAATCTTCGACAGCGTCGCGTATAGTATCCTAAAGACACAAAATAAAAATAAATTTTAGTCAAAAATATGAAATCGGTAACACGAGGTTTGATGCATTTGAAGTCATCTTCTGAATAACACAAAACTTCATTCACCTGACAAAAACGAAAAAACGAACCAGTGATAAACACGAAACAGAAAGATTGAAAAAGTTAAATATCACTTGACATTCAAAATGCAAGATGAGTAATAAGAAGGAAAAAGCTCCGAAAACCTCAAGGGCATCTGATATCCCTGGAATGGCCGATATATCGCCACCAATCACTTTGAGGGTAAAATCGAGATTCCGCTGCAAGTACAAATACGAACACATTAAGTACCATCTAAACAAATAAAGTTTCACAATGCTTCAAGTTGCAAATTCTTAAGAACTTGCCTTCTCTCTCAACGAATAACAAACGGCGCCAAAACACGGGAACTCATCGACCAGCGGTTTGAATATCAACCTGAAAACCCCTGCGAATCCAATATTTTTTACCTGCACGCGTAAATATGATGATAGCAAACATCAATGATTAACAGAACAAAATTGCTTTAACAATCTCCAATTTTTCTTTATTTCTTCCATTAAATCTTGAAAAAAAGATTCGAAAAATACCTGTATAGGTAGAGCTACACCAACTCTAGTCTTAATATCGAGTACGATGTTCGGATTACCGTCCCACTGCAAGTCCAATTCCACAATTATCTCGTTAGGGTCCCCTTCAAGGATAGAAACTCCTATTTTGATCAC